AAGCTTTCTTGGACTGGCTGAAGAACATGGATCGCTACTTTGATTGGTACGCCCTGACGGAACCCCGAAAGGTCAAATTCGCAGCTATGAAACTCACCGGACCCGTCTGCCAGTATTGGTCCAACCTCGAAACACTAAGGCATATTAGAGGTGAGTTATCAATTACAACTTGGCGAGAAATGGCAGATGAACTGAAACGAAAATACCTCCCGCCATCGTTTTATCATAGACTGTTAGACAAGTGGCATCGTCTCACTCAAGGAACCAAGTCTGCGAAAGAATATGTTGCGCAATTCGACGAATTGTTTACTCGATGCAGCATCATTGAGCAAGAGGCACCTATGAAGGTACTGTCAAAGTTTAGAGCTGGATTGAGAAATGACCTCCAAGCTGAACTCTTTGCTAGAGGAATAGACACCCTTGAGAAGGCTTACGCATTAGTTCAAGATTTAGATGAAGCCAAATCCCATAGGAATCAGGACTTTAGAACTTATTCCTCCCAGTCTTACCGTGCCACTACCTCTAGTCAGCCTCCGAGTCGATCTAACCCTAGTTCTTCCCAGCCTAAAGTCGACCCCAAAGGCAAAGGAGCCGAAGAGAGATTTCTCCAAGATCGGCCCTCACGTCAAGTGCTATAAATGCCAAGGGTATGGACACGTTGCTGCGAACTGTCCGACCCGTCACAAGGTTGCTATAATCGATGGACAATACGAATTTGAACCTGAGCTTGATAGCGACGAGTTTATCCATCAAGTTGACGATGATACCGATGATTTCGAGGATGAGACAGATGATACTGTCTTAGGTTGTCTTAGGCAAATCGAAACTCCTACTGTATCAGTCGTCAGATGCGCCACCTCTCAATCCAAGGCTATTGATGATTGGCGACGTACCTCCATTTTCCATACGTTCACAAAGATTGGTGATAAAAATTGTAAAGTGATCGTGGACAGTGGAAGCTGCATTAACGCGGTCTCCTCAGCAGTAATTGCTAAGATTGGTCTTAAAGTTGTACCCCATCCTAATCCATATAAAGTATCATGGATTAACGACACCGCACTCAATGTCCAAGAGAGATGTTTAGTCCCTCTCCAATTTTCCATTTATAAGGACAAAGTTTGGTGTGATGTTCTGAAAATGGATGTGGGTCAAGTTATTCTTGGAAGACCCTGGCTATTTGATAACGACGTTCATATCTTCGGGCGATCCAATATGCTATTATTCGAGCATGACGGGAAGAAGGTCAAGATCCTTCCGGTTCAACCGAAAGGTAATGACAAGAAGCCCGATCCAAACAAGTTTTCCCAAGGCGTTAATCTAATTGGAGCTAAAGAGATTGATCGTGAACTGTCCAATGGAGCTCCCATTTTCGCCCTCGCTGCTAGAGAAGCTCCTAAGGATATTGCTAATACAGCTCCCCCAGAAGTCGCTCCTGTGTTGGAAGAATTCTCTGACGTCTTCCCTGAGGACCTCCCGGACCAGTTACCCCCGATGCGTAATATTCAACACGCAATTGATTTAGTCCCGGGAGCAACCCTTCCCAATTTGCCTCACTATCGAATGAACCCTAATGAGCATGCAGAGTTAAAAAGGCAAGTTGATGAGCTGCTGAAGAAAGGCTTTGTGAAAGAAAGCATGAGCCCTTGTGCGGTTCCCGCATTATTAACACCCAAGAAGGATGGTACATGGCGTATGTGTGTGGATAGCCGTGCAATCAACAAGATCACGGTGAAATATCGTTTCCCCATTCCCCGGTTGGATGACATGCTTGACTTAATGTCTGGAGCCACCATCTTCTCTAAGATTGATCTTAAGAGTGGCTACCATCAGATTCGCATCCGCCCTGGTGACGAATGAAAGACCGCTTTCAAGACGAAAGACGGATTGTATGAGTGGATGGTCATGCCCTTTGGCTTGACTAACGCTCCGAGCACTTTTATGAGAGTGATGACTCAAGTACTCCGCCCCTTCACAGGAAAATTCTTGGTGGTGTACTTTGACGATATCCTTATTTACAGTAATTCTCGCGAGCAACACGTGGACCATCTGCGTCAAGTCTGTGCCGTGTTAAGAAAAGAACAACTTTATGCTAATCCTAAGAAATGTACTTTTCTTACACAGCAAGTCATTTTTCTAGGATTCGTGGTCTCGTCTGAAGGAGTATCCGCCGACCCTGAAAAGATTAGAGCTATTGAAGAATGGCCCGAACCCAAGAACATTAGAGACGTTCGGAGTTTTCACGGACTCGCTATTTTTTATCGTCGGTTTATCAAGGGCTTCAGTACCATCATGGCCCCTATTACCGATTGCTTGAAGAAAGGTGAGTTCGAGTGGTCAAAAGCTGCTACCAAGGCATTTGAAGAGATCAAGCAAAGGATGTTGCAGGCTCCTGTTATGCGCCTGCCCGATTTTTCTAAAGTCTTCGAAATTGCGTGTGATGCCTCTGGTATTGGAATAGGTGGAGTCCTATCTCAAGAAGGACATCCCGTTGCTTACTTTAGTGAGAAGCTGAATGATACGAGGCAACGTTATTCCACCTATGATAAAGAGTTCTATGCGGTGATGCAATCTCTTCGACACTGGCGTCACTATCTGCTGCCACAAGAATTCGTCATATATTCTGACCACGAAGCTCTTCGATATATTCACTCTCAAAAGAAGTTGAACGCCAGACATGGTCGTTGGGTTGAGTTCCTTCAGGATTATACCTACACGATCAAACATAAAGCGGGAGTAGAAAATAAGGCCGCCGACGCACTCAGCCGCCGCATGCACCTCCTCTCCATTTTGAGTGCGGAAGTCACCGGCTTTGAGAAAGTTAAAGACCAATATGAATCGTGCCCTGATTTTAGCGAAGTTTATACTTTGCTGAATGATGGAGTGACCCGTGAGATTGATGGCTTTCTCCTGAAGGATGGATATCTGTTCCATTTTCGCAAGTTGTGTATTCCTAGCACCTCGCTGAGAGAATTCTTAATTTGGGAACTACACGCTGGAGGCCTTGCAGGACATTTTGGGAATAACAAGACTGTCGAAGCAGTTGAATGTCGTTTCTATTGGCCAAGTATTAAACGTGACGTTATTAGGCTAGTGGGTCGATGTCACACCTGTCAATTAGCTAAGCAACGTAAGCAGAACACTGGCCTGTACACCCCTCTTCCTGTCCCAAATTGTCCCTGGCAAGATATCAGCATGGACTTCGTGTTAGGACTCCCAAAGACAATTAGAAAACACGATTCTATTCTTGTTGTTGTGGACCGATTCTCCAAAATGGCCCACTTCATACCGTGCTCCAAAACTTCTGATGCTTCTCATGTAGCCAAGTTATACTTTAATGAAGTTGTTAAACTGCACGGGCTTCCGAAAACAATTGTATCCGATAGGGATGTTAAATTTACTAGTTATTTTTGGAAAACCCTTTGGCACAAAATGGGAACTAAGCTTCAATTCTCGACGACGTTTCATCCCCAAACCGATGGTCAGACTGAAGTAGTCAACAGGAGCTTAGGAAACCTATTGAGATCGCTAGTAGGCGAAAATCTTAGGGATTGGGATCAACATCTACCTACTGCTGAATTTGCTTATAATAACTCTGTTAATAGGTCTACAGGTGTCAGTCCAGCTGAAGTAGTGTATGGTTACAAACCTAGACAACCTATAGATCTTGTCCCCGTGTCTGCACATCACAGAGTATCTAGGTCAGCATCTGCATTTGCATCTCGCATTCATGACTTGCATAAAGACATCAGTATAAAGATCAATGACAGCAATACTAACTATAAAATGCGAGCAAATCTAAGAAGGAGGTTTAAAGAATTTAGTGTAGGCGATGGCGATTATGTGATGGTCCGGATACGTCCGGAACGGTTTCCTCCAGGAACTGTTAAAAAGTTACATGCACGAAGTGCAGGACCTTTTAAAATTCTCAAGAAAATTAATGATAATGCTTATGTTCTCGACCTTCCTGAAGGTTTTAATATTGGTTCGACTTTTAATATTGAAGATTTAGTAGAGTACAAAGGCCCACATTTTAACCCTGACAACCCACTGGTTGATGAGCCTACCCCTGAGCCTATTTCTGAGAGCTCCCCTTTACCTCCACTTCCCCAGATATCACCTACATATACAGCACATGACATTGATGCTATTATTGATGATAACATTGTTTCTACTAGCAATGGTGGTATCCGCAGGTATTTGGTTCGTTGGAAAAATAGACCTGAGTCTGATGATACTTGGCTCGATCGAGGTGATTTACAGAGGCTGGATCCAGATCTTCTTGAGCAGTATGATAGCCGCCTTGATTTACACTCGACAGGGTCGAGTTCTCTCCCACCTGGGGAGAATGATGAGGACATCCAGGCACGTGCACGGGACTTTCGTCGTGTTTATCAGCGTAGGAGACGCCGTATTCTAGCCGCACATCAGATCGCAGGGATATGGTTTTGACAGTTTAGAAATTTTAGTTATTTTTCAGTTAGTAGTGATTTCAGATTAGAGTTGTTATTAGTTATTTAGTTGTTATTGGATAAGATTGAGAGAGATTAGATTGAGCTTTTAAATTCTGTAATAATCTCTATATAAACATGATTTGTAATCAGAGTTAGTTGAAATTACCTGTGGCTTGAACGTGTGAAACGTGGGTGTGAAACCCTAGATCTCTGTTCCTCTTCCTGCCCAAGCCGCCGCCGCCGCTCCTCCTTCCCCTCGAATAGCCGCCCAACTCCGCCGCCCCTCCCCAATCGATCGTCTGCCCTCGTTTTCCTCTCAAGTTCGAAGCAGCCCCTGAAGCCCTAGTCGCTGCCATCATCCCCGTCGACGAGCACCTCTATCGTCGCCCTCAGCCTTCGCCGCTCGACAACCACAGTCGAACTTCCCCTCCTCCTTCACTTCTGACAGCGCCGCCGCTACCGCGTCCCAGACCCGCCCGTCGTCGCCCTACCCGACGAAGATCGCTGCCGTTGCTGACCCTGACGCTGAAGACAACGACTTTGTGCTTGATCCAGAGACTGGTATTGTTGATTTGCAGCTTTCCTCGTGGTTCGATTACCGGACGTCCGAGAGTGTTCCTGAATACGTCGAACGCGTGACTCATCAGCTTGTAGACAGTGTGGAGAGCAGTTTGGGCATTAGTTCTTGGCACCGACGTTTTCATCCAGATACGCCGCTTCATCCCAATTACGTAGCTCTTGGAGGAGAACTCCCGCCACTCACATTTGGAGTTTTTACACCGCCTCCAGAGGATCCTCCCATCGAACCAGTCCAACCCGACGAAGGTTTAATTTTCTTACGCCCAAGTATTTTCGGAATTGCTATTGCGTGCATGTTATTCTCAATCTTAGTATCAATTGCGATTATGTTGTATCAGTTTGAATAGTGAGCGAGTGATTCTGTTGCTGAGTATTTCTGCTTATCTAAATATTACAAATTGAACTGTATTAAGAGAACAAATCATTACATTAATTATCAGAATAATTTTACAAAGGTTCAAACTTAGTACATTGTAACTTTTGCTAAAAAACCATCGTTCGCTTCATTTTATTCTTGAGCTTCCTGCCTAGGTTGATCGTTGATTTGGTGAAGCATTGTTGTCGCTGATCTTGCACCTGCATTCACATTGTTTCACATCACTTGGATTCCTTGTGAATCAATTTTCTGCATAGGTATTATATTGTGCAAAAATGGTGTACCCAGAATGATGTGTTGTGATAAATTTTTTACCAGTACACAAGGAATTGGGATACATGTGTCTTGTACACAAATATGTGCAGAAGGTAATTTAAAATTAACTTCAAGTTTGTCACTATTTGCACTACTCAAAGTCTGTGTAGTGGTTTCAAAGAATTTTAAAGGCACGATACCTTCACGAATGCAGTTAAGATCTGTACCGTTGTCAACCAAAGCTATAAGGTCTGATATAAACACTTATTTTGTTATAACTACGGTACATTGATGTACCATTTCTGAGATGTTATTTGTTGTAATATATTCAGAAATTCATCTTTTTGGGACGATTCTGGAACATCATAATCTCTATTAGAGAACTCGGTGAATTATTCTAAGAAGAGACTATTGAATCCTATTTTTCTCTAAAGTCTTCTTCTTTACTAAGTTTTGAGAGAATGTATTGATTCTCTTTCTTTAGAAGTTTTACTTCTTTTAACGTCTGAATCTCTTTGTTGAGATCAGAGAGAGATAATACTTTAGAAGTATTATTTTGCCTCCTTTTCATGACTTCTGACATTCTATAGACATGTCAATATTAGGCTTTTCTTTAATCTCTTTATTTTTATCTATGCAGAGATCGAGAAGTCCTATTTTTAATTCTGAAGACATTTCTTCAGAAAGTATCTTTGAGATTAATTCTTTATTTGAATCAATAACATTCAGAGATAGTTCATTCATTTCGACTATGACTTTCCAATAGTCTGGTCTATCCTTAATCTATCCTTAATCTGACAGTTATTAACTGTACAGTGACAATGCATTTTATCTTCAGAAGAAGATGAGGAAGAGAATGAATAGTATTCATCATCTGTCTCAGTATCACTGTTGATCATTATTTTATACAAAGTTTTTTTAAGACATTCATCTTCAATTTCATTGATTTTTTTTCTTTGTATAACACTTGCTGGCATAATGACCGGTCTTTTTGCATTTGTAACATTTAATGTTACTGATATCTTTCTTAGAATTTTTAGGAAGAAAATCTATATCTTTTCTTTTAAAGAAATTTTCTTTTTCTTTTTGAAAGAATGTTTCTTTCTGTCATCAGGTTCTCTCCTAACTTGCTGTCCTTTATCAGTCTTATAGGGCTGATCAAAGGCAAACTGCTGACAGAATTCACCTAATTCCTTCTTTTTTGTAAGTCTATGAGATTTAAGCTGATTTTTAAGCTTTATATCATTACATAAAACTAAGCCTTATTTAATACAAGCATTGATAAGAGTTCCATAGGAAAATGAGTCATAAGGAATGAATCCACCATGATTTCCTTTTGAGTTGATTTCAAACTCTTTCAGCAAATTAATTTGGTAGTCCATCAATGAATTTAGACTTCCAATGGATGCTATTAGCATCGTAGAGATTCGTTACTCTACTTAAGAACGTGTCTTTATACCATCTAAAATGGGTCAAAAAGGGCATATGAGGTTTTGTAATAAAGTTCTAATCCTTTCACCTTAGTTTATAAACGCACATGTGAAGTGATTTGTTATAGCTAGTATCAATGTATACACCGCATCTTCACTTTGTTGTCCATTTTCTTGTTAAAACTCCTATGAACTTAAGTTGATAGAAATACTTGTCCACCAAGTACTGCTCCTATAAACCTAAGTTGATGGAAATACTTGTCCACCAAGTTTTTTATCCATTGCTTTGAGATTTGTCCAAGTCATTAAGGATTTCTTTGATATGTGTGCATTGATTTGCATTACATGCTAGCACAAATCTCAAAGCAAATCTAATAGATAAAAAAGTTGGTGGACAAATGCTTCTAGCAACTTAAGTTTATAAGAGTTTTACTCTCTCTCTCTCTCTCTCTCTCTATATATATATATATATATATATATATCCAATTGTAACGTCAGGCGCCCACGACTATACGCACACTCAAAAGGTGAAGATATCAAGCAGTATAAGTACATAAAAATTGAGGGAGGAGTGAGCCAAGGGGGGGAGGTAGATCAAAAAATTAGGATAAGAGGTGAGGGAAAGGACGGCGACAGAGAAGAGGTTGGTGAAGAGGCGATGAGCAATATCAGAGAGTGATTACAAGTAAAAAGATGTGGTGGTCGAGGATGGAGGAGAAACAAAAAGAAGGTAAAAAGTAATAAGAAATGAAGAAATATAATGAAAAACAATAAATGTAACAAGTAGTGAACAAAGGTATAAATAATAACAAAAATTACTAAAAAAATGTAAATGTACAATAATCAAGGAAACGTTACAAGAAAAATTACTAAAAAAAGTAAATGTACAATAATTAAGGAAACGTTACAAGAATTGAACAAAGGTGATGAAAATTAAATATAAGTGTCAATGAACAAGGAAATGGAACAAGAACTCAACAAGCATAATAAAAAACATATAAATGTATTAATAAATAAAGGCAACAAGAATTCAACAAAAGTAACAAAAATAAATAAAGCTATCAATAATTGTAGAAAGCTAACAAGAATTGAATAAGGGTAACAAAAATCATGAAAATGTATCATTAAATAAAGATAAAGAAAAAATAAACGTATCGATAAAAAAAAAGAAAAGGTAATGGCAATTGAATAACAATAAGAAAAGTCATGAAAATGTATCATTTAAAAAGGTAACAGAAAACATAAAGGAATCAATAAACACACAAAAGATAACAATAATTGAATAGAGGTAGCAAAAATAAAGGATATTTATTTATAAATAAAGGTAGCAAAAAAAATATAAGTATCAATACACAAATAAAGGTAATAAGAATAGCACATACGTAACGAAAATTAAATAAAGGACAAATTTTCAATTTCAAAAACCGTATTTGAGATTAATTTTCAAAAATCGATCTATTTGAGATTTATTTAGTATTTTCGACCCAGGTCAAAAATGCTAAATAAGTTACGAAAACTTCACAGGATTTAGAATCTCTTGAAGTTTAGTGCTTAATTAATCATCGCTAAACAAAAAAATACGAAAGCTTCACGAGATTTTTGCTTAGCGCTGATTAATTAAGCATTAAATTCCACGGGATTCTAAATCCCGTGAAGTTTTCAAAACTTATTTAGCATTTTGACCTAGTTTCAGCCAGCTAGCTAAACTAGGTCTAAAATGCTGAATAAAAGATAAATAGGCTGGTTTCTAAAAATAAAGTTCCAAATGGGTTGGTTTTAAAATGTGTCCTTAAATAAATTTATCAATGAATTAAGAAAGGTAACAAGAACTGAATAAAGGTAACAAAAAGCACGATAATGTACATTAAACAAAGGTAACAAAAAAAATAAAGGTATCAATAAACAAAAATGGTGACAATAAGGTAATAAAAATCACAGAAATGAATAATTAAACAAAGGCAGCGAAGAAATAAAGGTATCAATAAACAAATAAAGATAACAAGAATTGCATGAAAGTAACAAAAAAATTAAGTTTATCAATAAATTAGGAAAGGTAACAAGAATTGAATAAAGGTAACAAGATTTACGAGAATGTTTCATTAAACAAAGATAAAAAAAATAAAGTTATCAAGAAATAAATAAAAGGTAACAATAGCTACTAACAAAATTCACAGAAATGTATTATTAGGCAATGGTAGTGAAAAAGTAATGTATCAATAAACAAAGAAAATCCAGCAATAATTAAATAAATGTAAAAAACTCACGAAAAAGTCCAATTAAACAAAGGTGGCAAAAAAAATAAAGGTACTAATAAATGAAGAAAAGATAACAATGACTAAATAAAGAAAAAATTTAAGAAAATGTACTATTGTAACAATGACTAAATAAAGAAAAAATTTAAGAAAATGTACTATTAAACAAAGGTAGAGAAAACTTAAAGGTATCCATAATCAAATAAAGGTAACAAGAATTGCAAAGTACCCAAAAATAAATGTATCAATAATTAAGAAAGGTAACAAGGTAGAGAAAACTTAAAGGTATCCATAATCAAATAAAGGTAACAAGAATTGCAAAGTACCCAAAAATAAATGTATCAATAATTAAGAAAGGTAACAAGGACTGAATAAAGGTGACATAAATCATGAGAATGTATCATTAAACAAAGGTAGCGAAAAAATAAAGGTATCAGTAAACAAAAAAAATGAATAAAGGTAACAATTATCACAAGAATGTTTCATTAAACAAAGATAGCAAAAGAATAAAGGTGTCAATAAATAAATAAATAAGAGATAACAATAATTGAATTAAAGTAACAAAAATCACAAAAATACATTACTAAATAAAGGTAGTGAAAAATAAATGTACCAATAAACAAAGAAAAAGATAACAATAAGTAAGGTAACAAAAATCACATAAATGTTTTATTAAACAAAGATAAAAAATAAATGCATCAATAAACAAAGAAAAAGTAACAGTAATTGAATAAACATAACAAAAATTTTAAAAATGGTATTAAACAAGGGTAGCGAGAAAAATAAAGGTAGCAATAAACAATTAAAAGTAACAAGAATTGCACAAAAATATCAAAAAAATACATGTATCAACAAATTAAGAAAGGTAACAACAATTGAACAAAGGTAACAAAAATAACAATAATGTATCATTGAACAAAGTTAGCGAAAAAAAGTATCAATAAACAAAAAAAGGCAACAATAATTGAACAAAGGTAACAAAAATCATTAAAATGTATTACTACACAAAGGTAGCAAAAAGTAAAGGCATCAATAAAGAAATAAAGGTAACAATAATTGCAATAAATGCATCAATAAACAAAGAAAAAGTAACAATAATTGAATAAACATAACAAAAATTAAAAAAATGTTATTAAACAAGGGTAGCGAGAAAAATAAAGGTAGCAATAAACAATTAAAAGTAACAAGAATTGCACAAAAATATCGAAAAATACATGTATCAACAAATTAAGAAAGGTAACAACAATTGAACAAAGGTAACAAAAATAACAAGAATGTATCATTGAACAAAGTTAGCGAAAAAAAAGTATCAATAAACAAAAAAAGGCAACAATAATTGAACAAAGGTAACAAAAATCATTAAAATGTATTACTACACAAAAGGTAGCAAAAAGTAAAGGCATCAATAAAGAAATAAAGGTAACAATAATTGCACAAAAGTAACAAAAAACAAATAAGAGTATCAATAAATTAATAAAGGTAACAAGAATTGAAAAAATGTAACAACAATTATGAGAATGTATCATCAAGCAAAGCTAGCGAAAAATAAAGATGTCAACTAATAAATAAAAGATAACAATAATTGAATAAAGGTAACATAATTAATGGAAATGTATTATTAAACAAAGGTGTCAAAAAATAAAGATATCAATAAACTAAGAAAAGATAACAATAACTGAATAAAGGTAACAAAAATCACAAAAATGTCGTATTAAACAAAGTTGGCGAAAAAATAAATGTATCAATAAACAAAGAAAAGGTAACAATAACTGAATAAAGGTAAAAAATATCAAGAAACTGTATTATTAAGCAAAAGTAGAAAAAAAAATAAAGGTAACAAAAATTGCATAAGAGTATCGAAAAACAATTAAATGTATCACTAAAGTAAAAAAGATAACAAGAATTAAATAAAGGTAAAAAAATACACGATGTATTATTAAATAAAGGTAGCAAAAAAATAAAGGCATTAATAAATAAAAAAGGGAAACAATAATCAAATACTAATAACAAAAATCAAGGAAATGTATTACTAAATAAAGGTAGCAATAAATAATAAACATAACAAGAATTGCACAAAAGTAATGAGAATAAATAATGTATCAATAAATTAAGAAAGATAGAAAGAACTAGGTAAAGGTAACGAAATTTACGTGAATGTATCATTAAACAAAGGTAGCGAAAAAAAATAAAAGCATCACTAAATAAATAAAAGATAACAATAATTGAATAAAGGTAAAAAAATCACGGAAGTATGTTATTTAAAAAAGGTAGGAAAAAAATAAAGTATCAATAAAAAAAGGTGATACTAATTGAATAAGGGTAACAAAAATCACAGACATGTCATATAAAACAAAGTAGTAGAAAAATAAAGGTATCAATAACCAAAGAAAAAGTAACAATAATTGAATAACAGTAACAAAAATAACAAATATGTATTATTAAACAAAGATAGTGAAAAGAAATAAAGGTATCAACTATCAATAAACAATAAAGGTAACAAGAATTGCACACAAGTATTGAAAGACAAATAAATGTATCAATAAATTAAGAAAGGTAGAAAAAATGGAATAGAGATAACAAAATTTTGAATATGTATCATCAAAGAAAGTTAGCGAAAAAATATAGGCATCAATAAATGAGGAAAAAATAACAATAATTGAGTAAAAATAAAAAATTCACAAAAATGCATCATTAATAATTAAAAGATCATATGGTTATCATACTAAAGGTAAGCAAAAGTTGGTCAGTCGCATTGATAAGCCATGTAGAAAATGAAGAAAGATAATAAAAACCAAAGAAAGTTGACAGCAACTAAAATTAACAAAACTATTTTCCCCTTTCTCCTTCCTCAACTACCACCACTCACGACAAACTTCACACACGCGCACTAGCACATCCAGGCTTATGTGAACTAGCATACACAGACTTATGTGAGTGCAGACGCACGACACTATTTAACAATCGAGCCTCAATCTTATCCCGTTAAGAGGTACAACATAATGAACACATATTTCTTGTAGCATAAACTAACACCTTAAACCTGATTCCTCATGAAAAAACACCTTAAACCTGCAGGACATATTTATTAATTGAAATCACCAAAAGCATTAAAATTTTCACAAATTGTTACGTTTCATCTTCAGTTTAGTTGTTTTTCCAGATAAAAGTACATTTTAATAGCTTACAGTAGCTGGAAATTGTTATCTTTTTCACTAAGATCAAGATGTTTGAGTAATCTATGATACCAGAGCATGCAGGGAAGCAATAATCGATTATTTAAGTGAAAAAAATTAATCTTTTTTGCCTATTCTGACTCTCTGATGATATCAGTTACTTTTTTTTACCTTAATATTTTCTCCTATTTATCCTTTCCAATCCACTATCCTTCAAATATATCTTTGCATCATTCTCAATCTCTACCTAAGTTTTGGTCCATTCATTGGCTCATCAGCTTTTATTCCACTTAACTTTTGCAGTTAAAACACAGCTTATAGCAAGAGCAGTTGGAAAAAAAAGTGTAGAAGTTATCTCCTTCTCATCTGTTTTTCATAACGCACCATCAACTTATCAGAGATATCTAAATAAGAAAATACAACTAACGAAATCTCTTTCGAACTCAAAGCCTCCAGTATGATAACTCTACGATAAGTCATAAGACCAAAAAAATTATAATAAGTATGAAGAGAATATACAAATGAAAAAAACACTAAAAGACTAGAAGCAAAATGACATCAATGAAGTTAGGTAATTCAGAAATGTTCATTTACAATTTACACGTCAAACTGCTGCCGTTTAATGGGCGCAAGTGAGCAAACAAAGTAGGACACTTTACACAAATGGTATGCATTTAATTATCAGATAATAATAACCAAAATTGCTTAAATTTTTTGCGTGAAACACTTTCCGAGTGCAACAAATGTTCTTAAAATTCTAAGAAATCCCTTTGCGCACAATAGCAGCAATGTTTCTAACGAAATAAAAGTTAAACAAGTACTAACCACCCAATACAAAGAATAACAATGAACAGAAAACCAATTAAGTGAACTGGAGCTGCATGCAGTATATGAAGCTAAATAATGAAAAAATTTCCAACAAACTAGCCTCTAAAGTTTCACAAGATCAGGATGATTTTGCAGCAGTTAAGTACTAATCTGATCAATTCTAAAAAAATGAAATCAACGATCATGATACTTCATGTAAGTTATGACTTCACCAATCATCTCGATAAGTGTAGCACAATTCAACTAATTGTAAGTAAATCCTATAACCATTTTACTGAGTACTGAAGATCAGACTTAGAATCTGAATACTAGCTCACTTGGTACAGTTTAACTAATTGTAATCAATTTCTAGACCACTGCACTGAAGGATTACATCTTGAACTGCAGGCAAACTCAAAAACACAGTCAAACAAAAAAATAAGATAAAAAATCTGCAAGAAGGTTAGGATAAACACTAGATAATTGATGCTAAACATTTCAATAATGCAACCAAATCCTCATTTGAAATCTTATCAATCAGAAGAACAAGAAGCTAAAAGATCATCTAATTGAAAGTAAAATACAGAACATCAACAAAAACACTGACAGATGAGAGAGATAACGAGAGGAGAGTTAAATCAAACCTTGTACATTATTCTCAATCTCAAATCCAAGGTTCTAAACTAAACGATCATCTAATTAAAGAAAAATACAGAACATCAGTGAATGAAATCAGACTATGGAAGAGAGAGAGAGAGAGAGAGAGAGAGTTAGATCAAACCATTGCGATCATCGATAAGCTTCGTAGTTAGATCAGGCCATTAAGATCGTTGATGAACTTCTTGGTCTTGTACGGCATTCTTGAGCTCAAATCCAACGTCGGAACTAAACGATCGTCAAATCAAAAGAAAATATAGAACATTAATGAAATTTTTGCCAATCAAATAATGAGAAAAGAGTTAAATCAAGCCAATGTCCACGTACGTTTTCACAAACTCGAATCCAGTTCTCAAAACTAATGATCTAGTTGAGGCAAAAATACAACAATAATCAGAGAGAAAGTTAAAATAGAAACGTCCGATCGTTGATCCAGGTCTCAAAACGAAACGATCGTCGATGAAAGAAAACTACAAAAAATTTATGAAAAAATCGACTGTAAGATAGCGAGATCAAACCATTGCGATCGTTGATGAGCTTCTTGGCTTCGTCGGCGTTCTCGAGACCGAATCCAAGGCTCGAACTCCATTGATGCTCTTCAACTCCAAGAAAATATAAAAAAATTGAGCAGACAAACCCTAGGTTTCAAAAGAGGAAGAAAACGAGCGGAAATTTTTAGAGGAGGAGCTCTATTGATCCTCAACTCCCTCTATTTATACTGTCCCTCTCTGTCGAGCCCTCGGCTTCTTCAACAAACTGCCCCAAAACAGCCGTAGCCCTGGCTTGACTGAGTAAATTAACTTATTTACAAAACCGCCCTTCTATTTATAAAATAAATGCAATTTTGGACAAATTTTCAAAACCACTCCTTTTAGGATTTTATTTGTAAAAACCGACCCATTTTTAAAATAATTATAAAAACCGACCTGTTTTCAGCCCAGCACTGAAAACAGGTCGGTTTTTGTAAAAAAATTTCGAAACATCACGGGAGTTCAACTCCCGTGAAGTTTATTGAGAAATTAAACTTCACGGGAGTTGAACTCCCGTGAAGTTTAGTTTCCGCTTAAAACTCCACGGGAGTTCAACTCCCGTGGAGTTACAGTCAAAAATTCCCAGAGAGTCGATCTCTGGGAATTTTGGACTGCAACTTCACGGGAGTTGAACTCCCGTGAAGAATTAGTGTGTAATTTATCAATAATTTTGTGAAATTAGAGGGGAAATTATCAATTAATGCGAAAAATAGTGTTGATTGTGATTATATGTAAAAATCTAGATTTTAGAATTTAATTATGAATTATTTACGAATTTTGTGAAGAAATGTGAAAATTAGAGGGGAAATTATCAATAAATGTGAAAATTAGTGTGGAAATTATCAATAAATGTGAAAATTAGAGAGAAAAGTATCAAAGGGGAAATTATCAATAATTTTGTGAAATTTGTGAAGAATTAGTGTGGAAATTATCAATAATTTTGTGAAATTAGAGGGGAAATTATCAATAATTTCGAAAATTATTGTATTTAGATTTTAGAATTTAATTGTGAATTATTTACGAATTTTGCGAAGATGTAATATTGATATTGAATTTTTCACTCTTCAGAGGTAATGATGAACGGTCGAATTGTAATTCTCTGTTCTTATGATGGGAAGATTAATTACCTCGAAAATAATATGCCCGTTTATGAAGGAGGCACGACGAGGCCGTTGTTCATAACAAAATCGTGTACTTTCGATGAGTTGGTTAATGAATTACACAAACTTACATTAACTAACCCATGTGAGTATCACCTTAGTTTGGTTTGCAATTATCCTGTTGTGGGGAACAGAACAAGTGGCATTCAAATATCAAGTGACTACGATATGGGTCTCATTCATGTCTTACACGACGAGAAGCGTTCGGTCGAATTGTTCATTGAAAAACATCAGAGAGATTTGGGCAAATCGTTGAACTACGAAGGAATGTATTCACGCATGTTGGCGGATCCTAAAGTTGATTCTGTAGGCTTTTTATCTCCTCAACAAGATGAATGTTGGACACAATCACAATACATGAGCGGTCCTTCGTTCGTGGGCACTTCGCATGCTTTCGATACTAACACGGGAATTCAAGAAGATAATGCAAGTGTTGAATCCGAGAATGATGATGAAGAGGAGGGATTACAAATTAGTAGCATGACCTTGATAGATCGTGATGGCGGGGAAAACCAACACATCGACGGGGCTTATGTTAATAATGAGTATGTCTGCTTAGAGGATTCGCCGCCCGATGAACTTCAAGGAGATGAATGGATTGATAACTCCGCGATGGAAAGTGTTCCTATTGGCACTAATAGCGGTGTTGATACACAGGCTGAGGACTTCTCATTCAAAAAGGGAGATCTTTACGAGAGTAAGGAGAAATTGATCCATGCTATTCGCACGTATTCCATTGCAAAAAATGTGAAGTTCAGGCCAACGAAAAATAATACTACAAGCTACAATGTGGTTTGTTTCTATCGCAAAGATGACAATGTCGAAGATAATAGTGGACACCACGACGGCAATGCGAGGTGTCCGTGGAAGCTTAATTCACGCTCGGGTGCAAGAGTAGGTGGGCAATTCAAAATCACGGCATACAATGGACTCCATACTTGTAGCAATCCTCGACTTGAGATGAATAACAAGAATGCGTCCTCTTCTTTTATATATCGATTGATTTTACCGCATCTGAGGGAGGATCTTGATCTAAGGCCGAAATATATTCGTCTTTTAGTGCATAAAGCCACCAACTTGGATGTATCATATCACAAGTGTTGGAATGCTAGGAGGAAGGCAATGATAAAAATATTCGGGGATTGGGATAATTCGTATGAGATCTTACCTCATTATCTTGAAGCACTCAAAAGAGAAAATCCGGGGACTGTCTACGAAGTATCTTCGGACCCCGTTGATGGCGGAGAACGGCGGTTCACCGGTGTATTTTGGGCATTTGGGCCCTGTATTGAGGGGTTTCGATATTGCCGTCCTCTTCTTAGCATTGATGGAACTCACTTATATGGTAAATACAAAGGCGTTTTGCTTGTTGCAACCGGAGTTGACGCGGATGGCGGGTTGTTTCCTTTAGCATTCGCAGTGGTTGATGTTGAAAATACAGAGAATTGGGCTTGGTTTTTTGCATGCATTAGATATCATATCCCTAGTGTGGGGACGCGGTCGATTACATTCATATCCGATAGGATGAAAGGAATTCCAAGAGCACTCCAACGACATTTCCCGCCACCACATGCACATCGCTATTGCTTGCGACATATTAGAGATAACTTCAAAAAGAAGTATGGAAACGCTCAGGTTCAAGACTTACTTTGGCAAGCTGGTTGTGCAACAGAAAAATATGTTTATGAACAAATACGAGAGAGGATCAAGTTCATTTCATGAGCTGCACATGATTGGATCGAAACTAGTTTGGGTCCAAACAATGTTGATAAGTGGGCTTTATGTGAGGATGACGGCAAACGGTTCTGTATGATGACTATGAACGCGTCTGAGAGCTTCAATGGCGTGCTCAGGGGAGCACGCGGCATGCCAATACAGGCACTAGTTGCTAAAACTTTTTACAGGCTTAATAAATTCTTTCTTCGACGTCGAGAACTTGGTGAAAATATCCGCTCAGAGCTAACACTGAAGGTTGATGAAATGCTAGCGGCTCGGATTGTACAAGCTCGGTCCTTTCAGGTTGTACGATACAGTTTTAATGAATGGGAGGTGCTCGAGGGAATAACCCATAGAGAAAATCGCTCTTACAAAGTCAATATGTTGGTGGATCACACTTGTACGTGCACTTGCAATGTACCGCAACTACAATGAATTCCTTATTCACATGTTGTAGCAGCTTGCTCCGACCTACAGGGTGGTGCTCACATTTCACATTATGAATTTATCGACGCTTGGTATTCTGCATACAACTATCAACAAACGTACAAAGAGTATTTTCGTCCACCATACGATAGTCGACATTGGACACAAGATGGGCCACGGATATTACCTCCATTGTGTAAAAGATTGGCGGGGCGCCCTCGTTCCGTGCGTATACGAAATAGTATGGATGACGGACGTGAAGGAGCTAGGAGGAGAAATAAGTGCAGTAGATGTGATCAACCGGGTCACAACAAAAATAGGTGTCCAGTTAGTATTAGGCGTTGATTTGTATTATGTAGCGTTTTGCACTATGTCATTCGTATTTGTTATCTTTGCTGCGTATGATACTCGTTATTTGTAATATTATCTGTATGATACTGTGTTCATTTCACCCATGCATTTCCATTATGTAGCGTTTTGTACTATGTCAGATTATGTATGTCATTCGTATTTGTTATCTTTAAAGCGTATGATACTCGTTATTTGTAATATGTTATGTATGATACTGTGTTCATTGCACTCTGTATATATGCTCATATTTTAATCACAGGTCTATTCGTTATGGATCCGGGACCGAAAAATCCCGACGTTTTGTACCTTCAGGCGAGTCATTGTTCAGACCATATTGGTTCGGGAGAGGTAATACGAATAAATTAGATAGCATTGATCTTCGATTAATGAAATTTTTTTATGAATATATTTATAACTGATTCTCGTTTTATGTGCAGCCCGTACCAGAGTTCACGATGATCGAGCATTCCCAGAGTCATTCGGCTTGGGTCATTGAGGATGAGAGGGTACTACATCTGATCGATCAGGCCGGTTTTCGACCGTGTTCGACGATTCGTTATATCAGGCTTGATTGGCCGCTTATCACTACTTTGATTGAGAGGTGGAGGCCAGAGACCAACACCTTTCACATGCATATAGGGGAGTGCACCATCACTTTACAGGACGTGGCCGTCATACTTGGGCTCCGGATCGATGGACCGGTAGTTACGGGCACCGATGATCATAGTTGGCCGGAGGTATGTGCCCGGCTTCTTGGACAGGTTCCCGACTTGAGGAGTGGTGCGATGAAGCTATCGTGGCTTCGTCAGACATTTCAGGGCGATATACCACAGGATGCCTCTGATGAGACGCTCCAGTTTCATGCTCGTGCATACATATTACACATGATAGGGTGCGTACTATTTCCGGATGCGAGCAAGACTCTCGTACATGCACGATGGCTGCAACTGCTGGAGGATTTTGGTGTATGCGGCGCACTATCGTGGGGCAGTGCGGTGTTGGCATATTTGTATCGAGAATTGAGTAGAGTATCTTTGATGCAGAATAAAGAATTCAAGGGATGCTGTACATTGATACAGATTTGGTCATGGGAGCGCATTCATATTGATACAGATTTGGTCATGGGAGCGCATTCATATTGGACGACCCACTTTACTTATGCATCGTGACTTAGAGGGGCAGTATCCGTTGGCATACAGGTATAATTGTACACACACATATTTCATTCGTAACCTGAATATTTGTACTTATATATCCGCTATTCTGCATATAGGTATAACATATGATACGCTCAGTACAGATCAGCGACGCGTCACCGTCAGTTTTACCGAAATGAGCTTGATGTCCTCCAGCACGAACAGGTAAATATAAAACTCAAGAAGTATGAATATTATAGTTTTTCTGTATGATATTGATAAATGTTTTATTTTATTTCAGTTCAAGTGGAGACCCTATACACCGCCAGAGCTCGATATGCATTCTCTTACACCTATCTGTCGAGATAGTCCCGACTTGTGGAGAGCCAGAGTTCCATTGATCTGTTGGGAGATCGTAGAGATGCATGTACCGGACCATGTGCTATGGCAGTTTACACTCTCTCAGCATATTCCAGATCCTGTCGAGCAGATCAATCATCGGCGGTGCCCTACATCGCACCGGACTGACTGGGCCGTAGTCCGTGCGGCCTACATAGACAGGTGGGTTCACAGGTGGGATTGCATACAGGATACGAGGCCCACAGCTGTTGACTATATTGCGTATATGCGTTGGTATTGGGGTATCACACGTAGATGGATCACGCGTGACCCACAGCCCTTAGCTGGACACATGCCACGCCCCCCGACAGATAGTTACATCCCTAGTGGGATGAACGAGAGAGATTACGTAAGTTTCTAAACTAATTTATAACATTTTTTATTGAGTTGATACTTAATAAATTGTTTACCACGCAGGTCCGTGTTTTAGATAGCATTGATGCTGATATTGATGCGCACGTGACTGAGATTCAGGATCAGGTGGCGTTAGGTCTCCTCAGCAGGATCAAGAAGAGCATAGCGCAGGTGTTCCATAAGACTCACGTCGACGAGTTCGCAGGCCGTGAGGACAGGTCTCGCTCATTTGGACGGGCGTACGCTCGACGTCGACGGCCGCGTGATGATGACGCCGGCACTTCGCATGCCGATGGAGCCGGCACTTCGCATGCCGATGAATCATGTATATATTGTTGTTTGCAAATAAATTGGTATATATATGAGTTAACAGGTACATATACAAAACATGCACATCAGGCTGTGCATTCTGGATGACCTGCAACTTCACGGGAGTTCAACTCCCGTGAAGTTGCAGTCCCAATTTCCCAGAGAACCGAGATCGGTTCTCTGGGAATGTTTAACTGTAACTCCACGGGAGTTGAACTCCCGTGGAGTTTTAAGCAGAAATTAAACTTCACGGGAGTTCAACTCCCGTGAAGTTTAATTTCTCCATAAACTTCACGGGAGTTGAACTCCCGTGATGTTTCGGAGAATTATTTACAAAAACCGACCTGTTTTCAGCGCTGGACTGAAAACAGGTCGGTTTTTGTAATTATTTTCAAAATGGATCGTTTTTTGCAAATAAAATCCTAAAAGAGGTGGTTTTGAAAATTTGTCCATGCAATTTTTACCTGTTCCACGTTAGTGAATTGTACAGGAACATAGTGTAATTTTCCTTGAGCGGGGTGTTAGTCAAGCAAAACTTAAAATTAAAGCTAGGATGATTTGTAGGATAAATTTTTAAAGTATCAGTCAATTAAAATTAGAACTATGATTAAATTATACAGTGTTAGTCAATTAGAACTGGATAACAAGTAGAACTAAGATAATGATAAAAATTTGTCCCACTTTTATCAAATTTCATATCATGCTTCCTTTAAAAGTATGAGTTCGGAAAAATCTTTCGGTAGACAAAAATACCATTGGAATTCAAATACTAATACATTAAGTAAGAGTAAGTTGATAAATTAATGAATTATTCTTTGATATATATATATAGTATGAAGATAATGATATATTTTAAATTGAAATATAAACCTGAACGAAATTATTAAATGCCAAATTTACAAATGTATACAAGATGAAGGGCGTATATACAAAAACTAAAATTCAAGTAGTTCACGGTACTGTATGATTAGTTTTAAAGTTTAATTATACTATTATTATTTAAATAGAACTCTATTTACAATTGTTATTCTCTCACATGCAACATCACATGCTAATATATATAAGCTAAGAAATTACAACAATTTCCATTACACTTTCATCTCCTTCTATAGGTATGTGCCTTTGTTATTTTCTTATTATTAGATTAGATTAAATTATTTTAAAGCAATTAATTATATTGTGTATTTAAACTATTTTTTCATATCAAGAAATAGCAATAATTTTTACAACACTTTCATTTATTTTCTTCTTATTACATTAGATTAGATTACTTTAAAGCAATTACTTATATTGTATGTTTGATCTTTTTTCAGATCAGAAATTGTAATAATTTTCATAACACTTTAATCTCTTCCAATAGGTATATGCCTTTGTTATTTTCTTTTTATTAGATTAGATTGTTTAAAAATTATGAATTATAAATTTACAATAATTTTCACATCACTTTCATTTATTTTCTTCTTATTAGATTAGATCAGATTAATTTAAAGTGATTACTTGTATGGTATATTTGATCGTTTTTTAGATCATAAAGTTTAATTATACTATTATTATTTAAATAGATATTGTTTGTATAAAAATTAAATAGAATCTCATACGTATTTTAGATCTCAATGCCAATTGTAATACTTACATATGAGTGTTGGTTAAAATAAATTTCATGCATGGGCTTAACTTATATGATCCTAATTTAACTGGATTAGATAATTTATTTTTTTTATACTCAAACTCTTCCACAAAACCAAAAGTGAGTAGTAATGTTATAGCTATATATATCCACAGGACCCCATATATCTTGAAAATGAACGAAAAAACCACACAAACAAAAAACATATTAATTATCCACCACACTCATTGTTTTCAAAACCACTCATCTCCATATCCATCTATAATATATCCACATACCCAAATTAAGTTGCTAGAGTTTTCCTTTCACCAACTACACTATTGATCAACCCTCATTTTTACTTTGTACTTAAATTATATAACATTCATTGCGATGAGGACTCGCATGGGTCCTTTGCCTGCCTT